TGGGACCTGTTATTTCTACCTTTCATTCTCATATCTAAATGAAAGAGTTTTAGATTCTATAACCGTGTCTTTTTTTTTTTTTTTTAAGAAAGAGAGAGAGAGGGAGAACATGAGCGCACATGTGAGAATGGTGGGAAGCGGGGAGCAGAGGAAGAGGGAGAGAGAAGGTTAAGCAGGCTCTGATCTCAGCTCAGGCCCTGACACGGACTCAAACCCACAACCCCGAGATCATGACCTGAGCTGAAATCGAGAGTTGGATGCTTAACTGACCAAGCCACCCAGGTGCCCCAGATCCTATAACCATGTATTAGAGATGCTGGTGCTATCCCTTGATTTCTCTTTGATGTCTTTTCTTATATCTCTAGTGTTTTCCAACCTTCTTTATTATTATTTTTTAAAGATTTTATTTATTTATTTGACAGACAGAGATCACAATTAGGCAGAGAGGCAAGCAGAGAGAGAGAGAGAGAGAGGAGGAAACAGGCCCCCCGCTGAGCAGAGAGCCCGATGCGGGACTCGATCCCATGACCCTGGGATCATGACCTGAGCCGAAGGCAGAGGCTTTAACCCACTGAGCCACCCAGGTGCCCCTCCAACCTTCTTTAAAACGTAATGAGTCTCGCCCCCAAATATTTAGTAATTACAAAGGGAAAAATAGTAAGTTTACAGTGGAGAATTCTGGCAGACACCATCTTAAACAATCTAGGTTCATATCACCAGAAATACACATGACAGTACATATCCCCTGAAAGGATGCACTGAGAAGGGCACATCAGACAAACCCAAGTTGAGGCACACTCTACAAGACAATTGGTCAGTACCTTTCAAAAGTGTCAAGATCATGAAAAACAAAGAATCAGGATCATTCACAAGTTGAAGAAGACATACAGCTAAATGCAATGTAGGATCCTGGATTGGGTCCTGGACCCAAAAAAAAAAAAAAAAAAAAAGAAAAGAAAAGAAAAGGACTTTAGTGGAAAGAATTGGTAAAAAATAATTTCTGTACTTCAGTTTATATATTTTTTAAAGATTTCATGTATTTATTTGTCAGAGAAAGAGAGAGAGCACAAGCAGGGGGAGAGGCAGGCAGAGGGAAAAGCAGGCTCCCTGCTGAGCAAGGAGCCCAATGCAGGACTCGATCCCAGGACCTTGAGATCATGACCTGACCCAAAGGCAGATGCCTAACCCACTGAGCCACCCAGATGTCGCTTCAGTTTATATTGTTATATGAAGGTTAAGATTCTTAGTGTATAATTGTTCTAATATGGTATATAAAATATTAATATAAAAATACAGTGTGTGAAGAGTATACGGAAATTCTCTATACTATTTTTGCAGCTCTTCTGAAGTTTGAAATAATCTCAAAATAAAATGTTTTTCTTTTAAATGTGGTGACCCAAACTGGCCTCTTCTTTCAATAAGGGTTATTAAAAAATTACTCTCCTGGGGCGCCTGGGTGGCTCAGTGGTTTAAAGCCTCTGCCTTCAGCTCGGGTCATGATTCCAGGGTCCTGGGATCAGGCCCAGCATCCCTGGGATCAGGCTCTCTGCTCAGCGAGGAGTCTGCTTCCTTTCCTCTCTCTCTGCCTGCCTCTCTGCCTACTTGTGATCCCTGTCTGTCAAATAAATAAATAAAATCTTTTTAAAAAAATTAAAAATTACTCTCCTGAATAAGAGAGGAAGGGTATTTCATATGATTGGTATATTTTCTTCTTTAGTTCTTTTGGTATTTAATTTAACTTTAATTTTTTAGTTCTTTTATTATTATGTGTTGAAGAGATGTAAAGTTTATAATAAATGTGTAAGTTTAAACAGTAACAATAACAGGAACACAAGAGTAGCTTGAAGCTCTCAGTGTGCCTTTTCCATCCTCCCCACCCTCTCTTAATTTTTATCTTGAATTTTGTACTTTTCATTCTCTTGCTTCTCTTTATAGGTTTACCTTGAAAATATGTGTCCCTAATGATACAGTTTTGCACAATTTTTAGCTTTATGTAAGTGAACTATCATATGCATTCTTTTACAATTTCCCCCCTAAATATTATATTCCTGAGATTTAATCATGTTAATGTGCTTACCTGTAGTTCATTCATTTTCACTGCTATGTAGCTTTCCATTATATGGACATACCACAGGTTACTTCTCTATTCTATCATTAATAGCTATTTGGTTGGTTTCCAGTTTTGCTGTTAGGAAGAATGCTACCGTACACATCCCTGTATATGACATATTATGAGAGTCTCTCTAGGGTGTATACATAAAATGGACTGGCTAGATTGTAGGGTAAATGCCCCATCAACTCTAAAAGTTAAATTGTTTCCCAAAGTATTTCTTCAGTTTTTAAGACCATCAACAGTATGTAAGTGTTCCACTGGTTCTACTTTTTCCTCTGGCACAGTATTATTAGACTTAAAACTTTTTACCAATTTAGCAGGCATGTATATTAACATTTTTAAATGTTGCCATTTATTGATTGTCTACTTTGAATCAAGCACTGTGGCAGACATTTTCATACCTTATTTAACTTAATCCTTTCATAACTCTTCTTCTCAGTCCTGTAATGGAAACTAATGCTGTACTTGGTTTATAATACATAATTACCCCCAACTCTCCATCTCTCTGACAGATTTATTCTTTCATGGGCCTTTCAACATCCTGTATCTCCCTAATTTATTTCCTCTTTCTTTTTTTAAAATCTCAGTTTTAGAAGAAATTTGAGGGAAGGCTCTGTGATTTCTAAGTAGTTAATAACTTGCCTCAGCTCAAACTATCATTAATTAGTAGCAGAATGAAATCAAACCTGGTTCTGTAGCTCCTAATCTTTTTCTTTTGTCTTTTCTTTTTTTTCTCTCTCTTACCTTTTTCCTCCCAAATTCCATTTCTTCCTCTCTTCCCTGACATTCTTCCCCTCTGAAGTTTGTTTTTGTTTTTGTTTTTCTTTTCCTCCTCTGAGTTAAACAGCTTAAATATACTTTCCACTTGGCTGCTGTGTAATGTGATGTGTGTGCAGAGAATGTCACCAGATTGGGTGAGTTCCTGATTCTAGCTAAACAGTCGTAACTCGGGCCCCTGGCTAGCCAGTAAGTGCCTTATAACCATTTGACATTTCTAGCTATGCTCCTTGTGTGGATTTGGCCAGACTACTCTCTCAGAGCTGCTGATGGACCTGCAGGGGATGGAGAGAAGCCAGAACTTCAGGACATCCCACACTTGGCTCTTCTTTCTTGGCAGCTGTAGAAACCCCAAGCCTACTGTGAAGATGAAGGCAACTTACAGAAAGACTGGATGCCTAGAGAATGGTTATATTAGAACTGCTAATATTAGACAGGAAAACACAGATTCTATTGACAGAGAAACAGACAGTAGGTTGGGATACAAACCTTGTAGCCAACAAGTACAAATAATCTTGTTTGGCCTGCACAGTATTTAATTTTCTTTCTTTTTCATTTGGACACTTTTATAGGAAGCATGCACTCTCCAGTTTGTCACAGTACCCAGCATTTCATTTCCTATTGTTTTACATCTAATTGCTGATAACTTCCTGGCCCCTATTTGAGTTATTTGCCGCAACTCTGCCTAGATTACTGAAATCTGAATTTTATCCTTAATGAGGTCACTTGGTCCTCACACAGAGCAGAATTGAAAAATAAATTGTTATTCCAAATCACAATTTTCCAGCTAGCTGTGTGTGGGTTGTTTTTGTGTTGTTTTGTTTTGTTTTGTTTCTCCTGATCTTGGCTGGAAATATCCTTTTATTTAGACTTTACATTTCCCTAAATTTATTAATTTTCCCCCATCTAATCCTGTTTGGGATGATTAAGATGAAAATACCTATAAAGTTTTCTAGTCTTGGCTTATCCACACTTAGTGACTTGTGAGACCTGTAAGAAATTAAATAGATTTAATAGTATATATGTATACTATTTCCATATACTCTTTTCTAGAGAATTTCCATATACTCTTCACACACTGTACTTTTGTGTTAATATCTTATATACCATATTAGAACAATTATACACAAATTTAATTAAAGATTAAAATAAATGTACTTTATTGACCTTTTCTCAGTGTGGTTAAGGATAAAGAGAAAGAAGAGTTTTTCTGTATAGCAAACTCATGGGGTTTCATAAAGTATAATTTTCAACTGGTTAAAAAACATGACTCATATAAATACAATGAGCAGGTGTCAAATATTTTCTGTAACTCATTAATTAATGATGTAATCAGAAATAAGTTAAGACCAGTTCAAATGAAACTGTAGGAGCTAAGTATTTACAGGAAATATAATAAAGAAAAGTTAAGATTTCTGAATTATACATAAAACTAACTGAAGTACTAAAGTGCACAAGTCATAACCTTTGGAGTTGCCTTTTTCATCAAATAAAAAAAATATTTGTATCTCTATGGGATAGAAACCTACACGTTAAGCTCTGCCTACAGAGTTATAGAATAGTCCCATCAATAGAAAATTTAAGATGTCAATCAAGAACTGCACTAAGAGGGATGCCTGGGTGGCTCAGTTGTTTGAGCAACTGCCTTTGGCTTGAGTCATGATCCCAGAGTCCTGGGATTGAGTCCTGCATCGGGCTCCCGGCTTGGTAGGGAGCCTGCTTCCCTCTCTGGTCCTTTCCCCTCTCATGCTGTTTCCCACTCTCTCTCTCTCAAATAAGTAAAATCTTAAAAAAAAAAACAAAACTGTACTAAGAGACACCCAATAATTCTTTTGCCTGTTTCCAATGCTCTGTTACAGATAATTTTTCTGACAAAATGTAGTCATCAGTCTAGACTTGATTGCCGGAAAGTGGAATCTATTTGCCAAGCTTTGAAAATATAGCTTTAAGATGAGGATATATGAAATGAATTATAAAATTTAGCATATGTATCTTAGAGGTAGATTATTTTGGATTTCAGAGAACAAGTTCCAAATTTCTTAAGCACATGTTTAAGTGAAATGGTATTGGCATGAGAAATTCTTATACTGAATCTTTATTTCCTTTACAGAAATTCCATGGAATCATAGTTGGTACTATTCTGCAATGTCTCTAGTTGAAAGCCAAAGTGAAGACAGACAAAGTGAAGGTAGTTGAACTTAGTAAATATCTAAGTCTCTGTGTCATTATTACTGCATGCATGAGTACATGTGCTAATATACATATGACAGACAAAACTGACTGGCCAGTCCATCAATCAGACCACACCAATCTACCAAACAACTGACCAGGAAAGGAAATATACTTTGCAGAAGTAAGTACTTTGTCCTTACAAGTACAAGCTCCTCTGTTTGGTTATCTGAGAATTCTGATGTGAGTAGTTCCAGTCTCTTTTGTATTTTTATCTATTTTTATTTTATATTGTACTTTTATTTGGAAATTCACCAGAAAGGTCTGTGTTCCTTTTCCTCTCCTCCTCCTTCACAACTGCCTCCTGCTAAAAAGAAGTGGTCAGTGTGAAAGTTGCTGAAACAGATAAGGTCCTCCTTTGCAGACTCTTTGTGAATGGACCAAATAGGTCTGGCTATGATATTAGGATTTCCATACCATTTCCATGCTTTCCTGTGGTGCATCCAAGTACTAAAGGGAGCTGGAGTAATCACGCCTAAGCCTGACATGAGAAAAAAATTTTTTCTGACATAAAATTTTCAAAAAGGAAGCCAGAATGTAGTTCTATATTTAGAAATGACTGACATGAAAAGTTTTTTTTCTGACATAAAGTTTTGAAAGAGCAAGCCAGAATGTAGTTCTATATTTAGCTTCCTTTTGAGGAATGAAGAAGGTGCAGAGAATGAAATTAGGTTACTGATTTCAGGTCACACTAAACCTTCTTTACTTTCTGTCATTGTGCAGTTGTCTGATTCCTGGAGGGAACTTATTTCAAGAGCACATAGTTCCATAAAGAAGAATTCCATCCCAAGGGCACAGGCTTTAGTTCCAGAAAGAGGAAGTCAGGGATGTCCCAACTGAGGGAACAACCAGGGAGTCCTTTCCTACTCTCAGAACTGCTAGAGGAAAGAAGGCTAGGAAAACAAGTTAACTGATCAATTTCTCCTACATCTTCTTATGAACAGAAAATATGGGAGAGAATACTTGAGGGAACAGTAAATTCAAGGCAAAAGAACAAGTGGCAGTCATCAATAAAGACTGATTTACTGACTCAACAAATATTTATTGATCATCAAACGAGTGCCAGCCACTGTGGTACATGCCGGCAATACAATGGCAGCAAAACTAGATAGAATCCCTGCTCTTATGGAAATTATGGTTTAGTGATGGACAGCCATTAATTAAGTAATAACACATCAAATAATAGCACAGAGAAATAACAAATTATATCTATAATAAGTGCTGTGAAGTAAAAATCATATGGGGGTATAGTGGTTAAGAGCATGGATTCTGGAGCCATACTGTTTAGGCTTCAATCCTAGCTCTGCCACATACTATGTTATCTTGGGCAAATCTCTTCATTTCTCTATGCTACAGTTTTTCATCTATGAAACTAGGCTAATAACAGTGCTATCTCCTAAGTGTGTTGTGAGGATTGAATGAAGTAATATTTGTAAAGCACTTAGGACAGTTATCTGGTACATGGTAAACACTAGGTAAATATGTAAAAAAAATAATCTAATCTATAGGAGCTTTGATGCTTTTGTTGTTGTTCAGGAAGATAATTAAGAACTTGAACATTTATAAATTGGGTTATTTCAAAAGTCCAAAGTTTTACCAGTGAAAAATAATTGAAACCACTTTTCCTTGCCTAAACCCCTTTATAAGTAGGCAAATCCTACCTACTACATTAGAGTTATTGCTTGTGCTGTTTTGAGTGGTGAGCGATTAATATTGATCCCTCCAAGATGTTGGCCTTTTAGCTTGAGTCAACAAAATAACAGTGGCAAACCCAGTAATTTGGCTTCTGTCCTTTTCTAGGCTATCAACCTATTCTGGTTGGAAAACTTAGAGTACCTAGAGTAAATATTGACTGGTTCTAGTGTCTTGCTTATCTACCTTCTCCTTTCTATTTTTTACCACTTTCTTAGTTCAGCCTGTCATCATTTTGAAAGTTGACTATTAAACAGTAATCTTTTAAATCATTGTTATGTCTGCAGTCTCTTCCTCTGTAAATCCGTCATCTTAATCCTCTGAAATTCCAATTTTATCACGTTTTTCCCTGCTCAAAGTCTTTCTGGGATTCCTTGTCAGCTACTAATAATTTTAAGGTCATCAGCCTAACATTAAAGCCCTGACTTTATAGGCTTGTTTCCTGCCTCCTTCAGACTCTTCTTACTTCTGTACTATCGTACAACTTGTCTGGTCTCAGTGCCAAACTTTTCATTAGGTTCTTCTTCCTGCCCACGTATCTGTCTCCTATATTTATATTGAACCTATATTCATCTTTTAGATTTAGTGAAAGTTTATCTCCATGAAGCCTTCTCTGCCAATTCCAGCCACCAACCTCCCCTGCCCCCTCCCCTGCATTGTCTTTCCATCTTGATTACTTAACAGTGCTTAGCTTCTGCAGTTTTTAAAAATAATAGCCTTATTGAGATATAACTTACATGCCATTGAATTACCCTTTTAAAGCATAGAATTTAGTGATTTTTTAAAAAAAGATTTTATTTATTTGACAGAGAGATCATAAGTAGGCAGAGAGGCAGGCAGAGTGAGAGGGGGAAGCAGGCTCCCTGCTGAGCAGAGAGCCCGATGTGGGGCTCGATCCCAGGACCCTGAGATCATGACCTGAGCCGAAGGCAGAGGCTTTAACCCACTGAGCCACCCAAGTGCCCCCAATTCAGTGATTTTTAAAATATATTAATGGAATTGTACCACCGTGATCATAATTTAATTTTAGAACATTTTCATCACCCCCAAAAGAAACCCCATACCCATTAACAGTCACTCCCAATTCCTGCCTTCCCCAGGCTCTAGCAACCACTTTCTATCTCTTTTGATTTGCCTATACTGGACAAGGCATAAATAAAATCAAAATTTTATTTTGATAAAAAAATTTATTTTTGTTTTTTGGCCTTTTGTGACTGGCTTCTTTCACTTACTATTTTCAAGGTTCATGTTGTAGTATGTATCAGTACTCCATTCCTTTATAAGGCTGAATACCATTCCAGTGTATATATATACCACAATTTGTCCATTCATCAGTTGATAGACATTTGGGTTGTTTTCACTCTGGAGCTGTTATGAACAATACTGCTATAACCATTCATGTATAAGCTTTTGTGTGAACATATCATGTCAATTTTCTTGAATCTACAATTCATTTTAAGTCTTTCTTATATCCTATTTTGAATTCTTGCTTTACTGTTTTGGTTATATCTTGTATGATTCTACTAAATTGTAATTGGCACAGTGCCTACAGAGTTTCCTCTGTATTGGAAAGTAATTACGTATATATTTATATGTAAATACCCTGAAAAGGAAGGGATGCAAAGGGTATATACCAGTCTGTTAATGGTGCTTTCCTTGGGAAAAGGAGAAAGAGGGGAAAGGAAACTTAACTTTTTTTTCTTTATATTTCTGATTTTAGAACTTTTACATTTAAAATATATTTATGTGTTACTTTGGGTTGTTTGAAAAATCATTAAAGAAAAAGTGTAGGGGCTCATGGGTAGCTCAGTGGGTTGAGCCTCTGCCTTCAGCTTGGGTCATGATCTCAGGGTCCTGGGATTGGGCCCCGCATTGGGCTCTCTGCTCGGTGGGGAGCCTGCTTCCCCCTCTCTCTCTGCCTGCCTCTCTGCCTACTTGTGATCTCCCTCTCTCTGTGTCAAATAAATAAATAAAATCTTTAAAAAAGAGAGAGAAAGTGTAATCACAAAAGGAGGGAAGTTGGAGAAACTAAAAGGAAATGACAGAAAAAGAAAAAAAAAAGGAAAAATAGAAAGGAGAAGGGGCATAGATATTGTGGCATTTTGGAGCAGAAAATTAATCAGAGCTTTAATAATAGAATGCTACACAATACCACATTTAAACACAAAAAATAGACATGTATATTGTATAATTGTGTGAACATTCTACAAACCTTTGAATTGTATATTTTATTTTAAATAGGTGACTTGTGGGGTGCCTGGGTGGCTCAGTGGGTTAAAGCCTCTGCCTTCAACTATCATGATCCCAGAGTCCTGGGATCAAGCCCCGCATCGGGCTCTCTGCTCAGTGGGGAGCCTGCTTCCCCCTCTCTCTGTCTCTGCCTGCCTCTCTGCCTACTTGTGATCTCTGTCTGTCAAATAAAGAAATAAAATCTTAAAGTAAAATAAAAAAATAATAAATAGGTAAATTATATGGTATGTATATCTCAATAAAGTTATTTAGAATAGAAAAGACATCTATAGTTTTTAGAGTTAGTTTCTAGAATTATGTTTCTTTAGAAAATGTAAGTTAACAGTTGAACTAATTCATAGGAAATTTTCCTGACCCCAGTAACAGGAGCAAGTTAGCAAGATAAAGTACACAATTCCCAATTAAATTTGCATCTCAATAAATAATAATATTTTAGTATAAAAATGTCCCATATAAATATTTAGGACATACTTTGGTTTTGTATTTTTATTTGCTAAACCTGGCAATCATAAAGGGAATTAAGTTTTGAATCTCTTAGAGTGAAATTGCTTCTTTAGTATCACCAGGATTTTACTATTAGATCCAGCTTTGTGTGAATGGCATTTTGTTTCTAAGTGATGGACTTGATTATAAGTTTCCCAACCTCTCATCTCCTATCCCAAGGAACTTTTTATGACTGGGAAACCCTGAAAGTGATATCTAGCAGTTAAATCAAACATGATCAATTTTACTTTTACCACATTGATAAAAAATCATTGGCTCTACTTTCCAAATGATGTCAGAATGGCAAAGCACCACTCCCAACTTCCATCTATGTGGAGTGATATGAAGGATATTCCTTTCAGCTTCTCCCTTGAGAGGGAAGAAACCCAAGGTTTCCAACAGGAATAGTGGATAGGACCTTTAGTTTTGTTTTTTGGGTTTGGGTTTGGGTTTTTGTTTATTTTTTTTTAAGATTTATTTATTTATTTTAGAGATTGAGAAAGAATAAGTAGGGGGAAGGGGCAGAGGGAAAGG